ATTTCGGGCTTCGTGCGCGCTGTTGCGCTACCTTTTTTCCTATATCAATAATATCTCATTTTTCACTTAAATCTTGCCGTTTCTCTATTACGAGCCTAAAACCAAAATTTGACATGTTTTGACATAGTTGTTTATCTGGTTGTCATGGCAATTTATATTCAAATTCGTTACCGGTCTAATGTTTTTACTTCAAAACTTCCATAAAAAATACTCTTTTCTTCTTGGCCATTTACAAAAATTCGCTTTTAATTTAAATAATTTCCCGTTCTTATCTCAGATCCGTCGTCGAGCGCGGAGCTCTCTAAAAAAAGTATAAAAGCCGAACAATCGGCCAATAAAGTCAGTCTCGCTTCAGCTTTCAAACTAGAAGCATCTCCTAAAGTCCTTATCCTGCAAGCCTCTGCCTTCATCTGAAGTCGTCGTCTAGCCACGCCTACGCCTCCACCTACTAGTGCCCGCGCTATCTTTAGCCGCTGTGCGTGCTTGCTTCAAGCGCTGCGTGTGCCTACTCCGGGCGCTGCGTGTGCCTACTCCGGGCGCTGTGCTTGCCTACTTCAAGCGCTGCGTGTACCTGCTCCAGACGCTGCGTGTACCTACTCCAGACGCTGCGTGTGCCTACTCCGGGCGCTGTGTGTGCCTAGTCCGGGCGCTGTGTGTGCCTACTTCAAGCGCTGCGTGTGCCTACTCCAGACGCTGCGTGTGCCTAGATCAGGCGCTGCGCACCTACCACAGGCATAGCCTGTGCATACTCCGTGAGCGGTGAGCACCACTGCCAAGCGCGGTGTGCCACCTTGGTCTTCGGGCTCCGTTTCAGTACTCATTTATCTTTGTTATTTTTTTTTAAAAATAATTGTAATTCACGTCATCCATCATCATCTTAATTTTTTTTATATAAAAAAACTGTAAATATCTTTTAAAATTTTAAATAAATTTTAAAAGATATTTATTACAGTACGTTTTTTTGTTGTTTCGTTGTTGTTAGGTTAGGTTCTTTTGTTTTTAATTGTCGCTTTACGACAAGTCGATGGATGCAGGTGGCTCAGGACCGTGCTTTGTGGCATTACTTGGGGGAGACCTATGTTCAGCAGTGGACTTGTGAAGGGCTGTAATGATGATGATGTACGTGTGGGCGAGCGTGCGTGCGGGCTTACATGCGTGCTTGCGTGTGGGCGTGCATGCAAGCTTGCGTGCGTGCATGCGACTGTGCGTGCATGCGTGGGGCCTATACCTAACTGACTTTCTACTACTTACTACTTACTTACTTTGTTTTTTTTTTTGTATATCATTTAAATCGATTCGAACTAGTTACATTTAAGGAAAGTTCGAATATAAAATGTTCAAAAATAATTGTTTTTTTTTTTGGTAATAACTTTTAACCTGTTAACCAAGCCATGCTCACCTTCGATCGCGCAATACCAACCTTACGCCCGCCAAGTAGTGATCGAATTAGATCAGAATTATGTAAACATGTCTACCTATGAAAAAACTATTTTTTCGTTTTAAACAAAACCGAAGACACTATGCAATAGATATTAGTATCAAAGACAAAGATATGCTTTTTTATTTTAAACCATAACCTGGCAATGTTTCTTAGAAAAAAAAAAAAAGAAATCACTCTGAACTTCCGGCGTTCCACGTGTCACTTTGATGAAGGTGCTCCGTCTTTTTTATAGAATTTTATATTTGTGTCTGGACTAAAAACGAAAAAAAGTATATTTTTTATATATAAAAAAATATAAAAAAGTATAAAACGAAAGTATTATACTTTTTTATATTCCTTGTAATATAGTAAACACGTAGATATGTAATTTGTGGTATAAAAAGTGAAAAGTAAATTGCCAAAAGTACTTCAAATTCCGGAAAGCCCGTTTTGGCAGGTGAGTTATAAATGTGTTATTTTTCAAATTCTCATTTATTTTTAGTGTAAAATGTAAGCAAAAATAGTTTTCGTATATATTTCAAATAACATGACGTTGTATTTATTTCAAATTCACACAAACATATTTTAGAAATATTGTTCGAAATGTCATAGAGATAAAATATTATTTTATTATTTTTTTTTTTTATATTTTAATATTTTGGTATGAGTAACGAATGGAAACACATAAAACATAAAAATATACATATTTCCAAACAATTTGATATAAATTTCTCCAAAAACAAAAGTGTAGAATTCAAATTAGTAGTAATTTTGTCACTAAAATTGAAGTACATACTACTACTGTGCTATACAGGGTAATTTACGTATTTTATTACAATTTCTAGCAACCAAAAATAATTTTATTCGATAGTTTATACATTCAACAAGAATTCCTGTAAGTTTTATCCATAAATATTGTCTCAAAGTGAAAATATAGCAAAATTTGCAATATAGCAAACAATTTGCTAACTTACAAATTTTCCCGCCAAAAAGGTCCCGAGTGAACGGGAGTATAACATGGCGCGCGCTCGCTTGGCGAACAGGTGCGGATGTAACAGAATAACTTTTATATGAGACAATCTATTGAGTAAGACTATGTTCATCTGTGGCATTTAATAGTCTGTAATGGTAAATCTTATTAGGTTTCCCTACTTAAACAACAAGAAACTATTACGAGTATAGTTTCACCATGTCGTGTTTTACCCTCAGAGTAGTTTACGGCAGTAGCATTTTTCGGGTAGATTCGTTAGGGTCACGTATATCCTAGGCTTGCACTACCGGGAGCTAATAGATGGATAAGGAACTACGATCATTTTCGTACGAACTTCGCACGTGAATAATTTAATGTAGATTGTATTATTTTCAAAATTTAAAGTTTTTTCTAATATTTTTAACCTATAATTCTGCTTGGAAAATAAGTCCTTCAGTTAATATCGTCGTATTTGGGTCCATTTTTAGTCGTTACATCGGTCAAACCGCGTACTCACAGTATCAAGAAGGTCCCTTCTAAGTTCACGTATTGACAAGCAACTACCCTGCCTCTATCCATTGTACGTTTCCCAACACATACTTGACCCGGTTTTTATTTTTTTGCAAAGTTACTATATCTACCCAGTCAGTATTTTATTATTTAAAAGCTACTACAAACATTCAAAATTTAACTATGACGTCAAGCAAATTCGCTTATTATTTATAATGCAAATTTAAAGAATAGTATAAATACTAAAGTAAAATCAATGGTAAAGTGAAAGTGGTGTAATAAGTGTAAGAACGCTTTCTTACACCACCACAGCTTACTAATGGGATGGACTGTCAGTAATTCTTATGCTACAGAACACATCCTCGTCGCGGATTTTGATTCATGCAGCATATTTATTGCTCAGATTAATGCAAAGATCTTATATTAAAAGGCTTTTAAAGCCCTCTTTTCCACTGCATGCATATTTTTCCAAAACGTTGTAAGCTTGTAACACTCGTAGGAAAAAAATTTACTTCATTTGAAACGCCTTTCATTTTATTAAAAAATATTATAAGTATATTAAAACTAGGACGCAAGTGTCAAAGTTTTTACTCGGCAGTAAAATTATATTGTTTTTTTTTTAATGTCGATTAATTTAAAGTATTTTAAAAATCCATTCTGTATATAATTAAATTGAGTATTTCATGTATGCACACATTTTTTTCCAGCATAAACTATGTCTGTGTATTTTGGGCAACCTGGCCTTAAGTGTATTAAATCTGTTTATTCGGATCGTTTAATTGCCAGATGAAATTAATAACTATTATAAATTAGCCGTTTAATTAAAAGGCAATTAATATGAACTGTCCGGAGGGCAACGGACGTCTGATTTAATTAATTCACTAGAACAAAGCAATACCCTTGTTTTGAAAGCTGTCCAATTAAAATGGAATTACTAATCGGAATAATATAATCACAGTTCTGTAACAACATATTCTGAGTTCCAAGTTTTGCTAAAAGTTCAATATTTATGTAAGCTTTAGTTCTCCATTTATTATATCGATGATGTTATTAACTTATAAATGTTGAAAATCTCAGTGAAATATTACTATTATTCAGAGAGAATAGTGATATAAATATCTTTTTTACACCAGACTTGAAATATACAAAGTAGCTTCAAAAGTGAGAGGCGTCTCTTACAGTGATTATTAATGCGGTTGTCATGCCTGAAAATAAAAACAACAACCTAATAAAGATACACAGGGTTATTCTACAATAACCGGTCAAATTTGCAGAGAAGGTTCAGAATAAGTTATATGGGCGAAAGGTGAGTAAAACTTAATAAAAAAATCAAAAATGCAGTCCTTTTTGACTTTTAAATTCGAAATGCATGGTAATGGGTTATTTTAACTGATACTGCGCACGCACACATTCGTAAGGGTTGATCTGTATGTATATAGTAATCTATGGGTCAATCAGAAGGCAAAAACATTCAGTTTGGTAAAACGAAATGAACTTAATTTCATACATGTTACTTGCTTGAACAAAGTTAAAATATGTCTTATTTTGAAGATTTAAAAATTTGATATGTCAGTAAATCACATTCATATCAAATAAAGGAATAGAAGCATGCGGCATATCATTATTTATATCTTTGAACTCAATTTTTTAATGTATGGCAAATCTTTGAAAATAACCCTATATAGAAGGAGGGTGACAAACGAGCATAGAGTTCACATGATGGAAATATATGATGTGGTCATTATGCACCTAGATCTATCGTCGTTTAAGAAACTAAATGCATACAGATGCGTTGCCATCTCTGATGACTAAGATGAAATGCCTCGTTTACAGTAAAAAGAATCTCCACTGCTCGTCTCTCACCTTACAAAACATATTCGCATTAGACTGCTATTTATTTCTGGTATATATACCAGCGTGATAAGCAGCGTGATGCTTCTTTTTTAATTCCTTTATAATGAAGATGCAGCATGATGGTCCAGCTGTGGATTCACAGCATGGTTTTGTGCAGGCTGATAAAGAAGTGAAGATATTTTTGTGCGTTATACTAGTCTCAGGGATAGTTTCATTTAGATTATATACACTACAATATTATTTCAGTCATACGATGACTTCTTCAAGTCACTTCTCTTCAATGCGCGGGTGATTGTCCAAATATTCTTCGTGATGGGCGGTTTCCTTATGGCTTATAAGATGCTGATGTATGCGGAGACACATCCGTTCTCATTCAGGACAATACCGATGGCGATTGTTAATAGATGGCTCAGGTATTCTTTAAAATATCTAAGGCTTATATACCTAGTTGCTGAAATATTTGTTGCTTGCTTCTATACCTTTTTTTAAATACTAGTACAGCTTTTAACCTTACTCCTCCGTAAACCAGTCTAAGCTTAGAATTATTTATATTAAGAGTTGGTTCGCCGCAGTAGTCGAATGACGAATTGATCCCACGACTACTGTCGCCTCAAAAGACATACTTTGCGCCTAATCATTGGTTTGTGCTTACACTGTAAACTTCAGTGTGCAAACAACCAGGGTTTAATCCCTGCTGGGCGCTGAATTAAAATTTCGTGAGGGAAAAATTGCGTGACTGAGGAATAAAACTTTTGTAGTAGAGAATTCCGCTAACCTACACTACAATAAGCTCTACTGCATCTGGTTATCAATCTACAACCCTCTCAGAAATGAGAAAAAGCCTCAGTCCAGCTGTGTGTTATTAGCTGTAATTCTTTTTATATATGTCCTTCAGACCAAATTTCGGTCATGCCGCGGCGGCCAGTCTCAACGGAGACTAAACTCTGCGCAGGACATAATTGTAGTGCACGAATTTGAGCACACGCATACTCTCATTCCCCATCCTTATAGTCTGATATGGTGACAATACGACACGGAAAAAGATGAGGCGCTAGCTACCAACGTTTTTACGTGCTTACAGTAAAAAGAATTTCTTGAAAAAAAAAACCTAATATACGAATTTCGAACGAGTGTGTGCGCAAGCTCAACTTTTCCCTTACTCTCATAGTCCGATGGTACGGGAATCCCTTTTTTTTCATTAGATGAATCCGCATTTATAGCTGCAATTAGCAATATCATTGGTGTCAGCGGCATTCGAGCACAGGTTACACAACCAATAGTTAAATAACCTAAATGTTAAACACGATTTATGGGACAGGGAAAGGTTTCAAATACATCGTTTTTCATTTGTTATTTTATATTATAGATTGATGCCGGCTGTTCTCGTTGTCATGGGCCTAGCGATGACGTGGGTACCACATCTGGGCTCTGGGCCTATGTGGGACGCAGTGGTCAAGCGGGAGAGAGACATGTGTAGGAGTAATTGGTGGCAGCTTGTGATATTAATGCCCAATCTATTTCCGTTCGAGCATCTTTGCCTACCTCAAGCTTGGTAAGTATTACCTTTGTTTACCTTTTCAACAATAAAAATAATTAATTTTTTTTAGGAAATCAAAAATAATTTTGATATAGTATTATTTGATTTTTTATATCTAGCTGTAACTATATTATGGCTGTAGCACGAACATATCAACTCGTTCGGGGAAGGACTACGCTCTAACAGAATAACAGCGTATGATGTGTGAGTTTACAGAACTGGAAGTTCTTTTTACTGGAAATGGGGCATTACAATATGTTTTCTAATATGCAGCTTAGAAATAAATTAGTAAAACAATATAAATTTGGTTATAATACACATTCTTTATCTGTCTACTCAATCGGGATGCTTCTGGCTGAAATATTGGTACGTATCTACTGATGATCTGGCAAAAATGGAATTTTAGTAAAGGCACTATTCTCTCACAAAATAATTGTATATTTTTGTTAATTTCTAAATTTGTGAGAGAAAATAATAAATTTTAATATTATTACTATTAATGTTAAAAAAAGATTCCAATAGATTTAAAAAAAAACAATAGACTTTTACTACAAAAACCAAGATTAGGTCCACAAAATTTGGTCTACTAATAAGAGGTAGAATCTGCGTTTAAATATCAAAAATGGCTCTTTAATTGATACGGATGGTCTCATTCTACGTGTGGACAAGTACGCAGATTTACACTATGTGTTTATTGATCAGCAATTTCGTTGAAATTTTTAAAGACTTTTAATAGAAAAACCAGGATTTTGGCTACAAACTCTGCTAATTAACTATTAAATAGAGTTAGTATTCATACATAAACACTCACGCCTGTCACCCAGAGGTGTAGGCAGAGACTACAGATTTCCATTTGGCACGATCCTGACACACCTCTCTCGCCTCCTTCACATCCATACACCTACGCATACATGCTCGTCGGTTAAGGGTACTCCTAATTTGGCCCGTTTCCAATAAATCGCCAATTTGGTCGATAAATTTTCGCCTAGGACGTCCCTTTCCGACTCTGCCATTCACTTCTGCAACATAAATTTTCTTTGTCACTCTTTCCTCATTCATTCTTTCCACATGACCAAACCACCGAAGCATTCCTTTCTTAATCCCGGTCACAACATCTCTTGCAAACCACACCCTTCTCTTATTACACAATTTCTTACCCCGTCATTCAGATTCAGCGCTAACATACTCCTTAACGACCGCATTTCTACTGCGTTTATTCTACTCTCGTGCTTCTTCTGCCACACCCAACTTTCACTACCATACGTTAAAGTAGGGACCAACACAGCATTGTGAATTGCCATACGTGCCTTTTTCGACACATTTTGACTCTTCACAATAGAGTGCAAGGCCCCATTTACTCTATTTCCCGCATTCACTCGTCGTTCTATATCCTTATCATATCTCCTATCCCTGCTAAATACGCAGCCCAAATATACAAACTCATCTACTTGCTCGATCAACTCCCCTTCTATTCTTATTTCACAAATCGTTTTACTTTCTTCTCTTTCAAAAACCATAACCTACGTCTTACTTGCGTTCACTTTCATACCCCTTTCTTTTAATGATCCGTTCATTAATGTAACCATCATTTGCAACTCGGCCGCCGACGACGCAAGAATGACTTCATCATCGGCGTACAAAAGGCATTTGACGGTTAACTCACCCATTCTTAATCCGCATTCTTCAACTTTCAAATTTTGCAAATAACTGTCCATAAATAGGTTGAACAGCCACGGGGAAGCCACACAGCCCTGTCTGACACCTTTATGGATGTCAAACCAGTCCGAGTAGACCCCGTTGATCCTAACACAAGCACTAGAGTCCCTATAAAGAGACTCCAATGCCTGTATCAAGCCAGCGCTCAACCCAAATGAGTTCAGTGTTTGCCATAGCATATCCCTATCCACTCTGTCATAGGCCTTTTCCAAATCCATGAACGCACAAAAAACCTTTTGGTTTTTGGCCAGAAACTTCTCCGCGATCATGCGCATGGAAAAGACTTGATCTGTACATCCCATTCCCTTTCTAAATCCCGCTTGCACATCCCAAATTTTTCCATCAGTTTCTTTCATGACCCTTTCAATCAGTATCTTAGCGTACAGTTTTCCCACAATGCTAAGAAGGCTGATGCCACGGTAGTTTTTACAGTCCTGCTGCGACCCTTTTCCTTTATATACTGGGACTGTCACGGCTTTGCACCAGTCTACCGGTACTCGCTTCAGTTCCCAGCATAAATTAAACAAGGTGTGCAGCAGGCCTGCCACCACCTCCTCTCCAGCCCTTAGTATTTCGAGTGAAACTCTATCATATCCGGGCGCCTTACCCGCTTTCATGCTTTTCATTGCTTTCATTATTTCATCTATACTTATCTCGCTACATCTTTCCTCTTCTTTCGGAGTTTCTACTTCACTTAGTACATATGTTGTCTCCTCACTCATAAACACGCTTTCAAAATATTCCTTCCATCTCTTTAAACTCAAAACTTCATCATTCAGAATATAGCCATTCTCGTCTCTTATAGCATTAATCATAGGCTATTTTGAATGTCCCCTGGCAGTTCTTACCAGTTTCCAGAACATTTTAATATTTGCCTGGAAGTTATCCGATATTTTTCTATCATTCTTATTCGTTCTTTCTTGCTTTTTTCTTTCCACTACTTCTTTTACTCTCTTATTAAGATGTCTAAAGACCGCCTTTTTTCTTTCAATATCATCATTCGTACCGCTAGAATTACCAGCCTTTTTTGCTAGTAAATCTAGCCATGCTCTCTTCTTTGCTTCAACTTCCATACGTATCTTATCATCCCACCATAACGTATTATTTTTCCTTTTATTCTTTCTCTTACTAACACCACATACTTTGATAGCTGCATGCAATAAACCTTTCTTTACATTTTGCCATACATTCTCCAAGTCTAACTCCTTCATACATAATTCATCCAAACCACTTATATTTTCTTTCAGTCTACATTTGAACTTGTTTCTCTCACCTTCATCTTGCAACCTTTCTGTTCTAATACGCTGTAACGCAGTGGTAGACACAGATGACCGATGACGCCAACGCCTGAATAGACCATTAATTCCGCATAAAACCAAATAATGATCCGTTCCTACGTTAGAACCCCGGTAAACCCTTGTATCCACCACTGCGCCCTTCAATCTTTCATCCACAATTATGAAATCTATCATGCTTCTATCGTCACCTCTTTCCCAAGTATACATATGAATCCTCTTGTGGCGAAAGCAAGTGTTCGTCACAAAAAGATTCTTTTCCATACATACGGTGAGGAGACTTTCACCATTCTCATTTATACTCTCATCACCAAACGTTCCCAATATCCTTTCATAACCAAGCCTCCTCACCCCAACCCTTTCATTAAAATCTCCTAGCATAATAATATTTTCATTTCCCTTACACTTCATTAACACCATCCTTACCATTTCCCAAAACTGCTCTCGGATATAAGTGGGCTTAGACATGTCTGGGGCGTAGACCCCTAACACGAACAACTTCTTTAAGCCCACTTTCATTCGTATCCATAACAGTCTTGGGCTTACACATTCATACTCTTTCACACATTGGCCTATTCTTTCTGAAAGGATGATACCTACTCCCTGGCATGCCCGCTCGATCTCGTCTACACGAGACCAGTATGCGGTATACATGCCATGTGTAGTGACATCCTTCCCCTTCCTTTTCGTCTCATTTACGCATAACACGTCTATTCCTCTATCATACATCACATCGCATACTTCATCCATTTTATCATTCATTGCCCCACATACATTCAACGTAGCCAGACGGGCCTCTGCAATCCACTTTTCGCCTCTCCGGGAGACAGAACGTGACGGGTGACGAACCTCGTCGCCGGCTAGTTAGTATTCACATTTAAAAAACAAAAAAGGCTCCTCAATTTATACGGTTATTTCCATTCTGCTTGTAGACAAAAACGCTGACTTACCACGTGATCGTCGAAAAGTAAAGGCATAACACAAGTAATTATTTCGTTATACTTTTTAAGACATTTACTGTAAAAAGCAGGAATAAGGTTAAAAAATCGGCTAATTGAGTACTCAATACAGTTAAATTACACATTTAAATATCTGAACTGATTTTCAATTCATACAAATGCATCTATGCTACTTATAAGCATATACGCTTATTTTTACTACGTGATAATAATGCCTTCTAGACAGAATTTCGGTCACAGAGACTCAACTACTGTCCAAGAATATGCGCACAGATGTACTCTCTATTGACTCACTCTCATAGTCTAATAGGGCGGTAATGGGGCATTATCTAAGAGAAATTGGGAGCAGGACCAACGACTTTACGTGCTTTCCGAGGCACGGGGCTGAAACACCGCCAGCTTTCTGACTCTAGGCTGCTGCTGAGAAATTCTTGGCAGAAAAATCCAATAAATGATTTTTGGCCTCAGCTGGGATTCGAGCCCATGATCTTATGATCAGCAATTTCGATTACGACCACTGGGCTAGACTACGTGATCTTCAATGAGCAAACACAATACAAATAATAATTTCGTGACTATCTCTCCAGAGGTATTTGGCAATTGTATAAACGATATCAGTGTCAAGAACGGGTCAACGTAAATAAACCTTGGTACCAGCGTAATGTTCGTTAAGCAAGGTTTGTAAAGAAAATCTTGATCTCTACAAACAAGAGATAAAATGTGTGCGCGAAAACAACTACCAACCAATTTGCTAAGACAAATAAAAAAGATTTATTTTTATTGCGTTATACCAAAGAAATGTAATATTACTGACCATTTGCTAAAAAAATTACAAATTTTATTTTGCTGCATTAAGATAATATCTACAAATGAAGCTTAAATTGTGTTTATGGGTTTATTATACAATAAAAAATATAGCATATTTTTACATTCAACCCAATGAATAATGAATTGAAGAGAATAAAGATAATATCAAATGTAAACACAATTATGGCACAGTATTTTTAAAGATGTATGTACAACGACCCTGTAGCGAGTGCGTAAG